TTTCTAATTATTTTTTATTTTTATTTCATTTTTAATTGTAATTTTTAATTCAGTTTACTTTCAGCCCCCCCCCCCCCCTGCATAGTAACCTGCACTCCACAACTGGCATTGCAGTTATTTTCTGCACACTTTGAGAAAAGTCAAAACGTTTTCAATGGTAAACTTGGACTTTTCAGATAATAAAAGATATAAATGTAAAATATAAAAATATTTAAATGTATATATAAAAATATGGCATGATGAAAAAGTGAATAAGCTGATTTCTGAAGCTAAAATGCCTGAACAACTTAGCATACGGTAAGCTTTTTGTCCGCTTTCGCATTCCGTCCGACTCTGAGGTCCAGCAGCGTTAAAGCAATGCTTTAACTCTGAAAGTACCCTGATCACAAACTTGAACGATCAACATAAATGCTCTGCGGACTAAAATAATTGTTTAATCGCTGGGTAAGTTCAGATTACGCACTCGCGTCCTATTTGTTTATTAATAAGTACTTTATAAGTACTAGTCTGTTATTATTATTGCTGAAAACTCTGTTTTACCAGCTGCTGCTGCACTTCACACATTCCTGCCCTCCAACCGTCTGCAGGAGTGTGTGAAGATGCTAAAAAGAAGACATTTTTCAAAAGCAAAATACGCAAATTGCCTTAATAATTGCGTTTTTCTTGCATTTGTATAACCTGCTCAAAGTCGACACTGGTAATGTAACCTGGTTAATAATAAACCTCCTCCCCCACTTTCAGGTCATCGCCTCATGGCAGAGATTTTTTATGTTGGAGTGGACGTGGGCACAGCCAGTGTGAGGGCTGCACTAGTGACCAGGGAGGGCCTGCTGAAGAGCACTGCACAGGAGCCCATCGGCATTTGGGAGCCGGAGTCTGACCACTATGTCCAGTCCTCCACTGAGATCTGGGAGAAATGCTGCACAGTTGTCAAGGTGGGATGATTTATGGCCTCAGTGTGTGTTATAAAAATATACATCCATCCCTCTACAGCAGCCGTCTGAGCACAGATACACCAACACAGACTCTCATGTGTTCATTTTAGCTAATTTTTAGCATGGGTGTTAATAGTATTTTAGCAGCTAAAGAAAAAAAAAAGCAGTTTCTTCATTATATATATGTTTTAATTATTTAAATATTCCTTTTAAAACGTATTATTTAATATTCCTACCGCCCTTACATTGTTCTCTGCTAATTATTCCAGCATTTTCTTCACTACATCAGCCACCGTTTGTTATTTTTAGCTAACTCTTGGTAGGTCTTTCAGTCGTTGTGTATTGTCATATGCTAATGTTTCGCTTACTTTGCTATAATTACTTTAAGCTAGTTATTTAGTCTTTTTATTCAGCACCTATTTTAGGTAAAATATAAAATATATTTACTATTTTGACCATTTTGGTTACCTTTAGCTAGCTACTGTACTTGTGCTTTTTCTGCTAACTTTCTGCATCTAATTCCCTCCTAGTTCAAACTCAGCTGGTACAGTAGGTCTCTTACTACCAGTACATTTGCATAATTAATGAAACTAGCACCACTGAAGAACAATGGGCTGTGAGCTCAGTTTCTTGATCATTAATATGCCAAGTGTCATGACCATGAGGACCATTCACAAAGAATTGAGGAATGGCTTTCAGTAATTGTGCAAAGGTACTGTTTATAAGGTTGGGAAAACCTGCAGTCAGCTGAGACTGAAAAAGTCACTGGGATGAGTGACCAAGCGTTTCTCCCACTGAAAAGGCTACATCCAGATGATTTTTGGGATTTCCTTACCTAAATGATTGCGCATGCATTGAGACATTTTACTTCAAGATATTGCACCTCCATAGCTTCCAATACACAAAACACTATAACCAGTGGTCTGGAATTAAGCTGTGTGTTGTTGTTACACTGTAAACTAGTTTGTTTGAAATACATTGCTAAAAAATGGTTGTTATGCAGGACCCAATCAATTTCCCTTTTATTTAGAACTCCCCTGTAAATACAGCATTACTGTATGTCTAAAGAATATAGGGCATATATTAGTATCAGATCATTTTTTACTCCCTAAGTTGGCCCCCAAAATCTAGTATTGGTCAGGCTCTACTCTTAATGGCAGCACACACACTTTGGCAACAGCTGCCTTAAGTTAGGGGAGGTATATACTCGGCAGCTGGCATATGTGGTGGATGACTGGTCTCTGCGACAAAAATTTTTTACATTACAGGGTTTTTCCTGGCTCCGGATGTGCCTGTGGGAGAAGCATGATTCATCCACATTAGGTTAAGGCAAAGAATATGTTTTACCTTAGTTAACAGAGGTTTATGAAATGAGAAAAATGT